ATATATTAATTAGAAATAGTAATATTTAATTAAGTATTAACCAAAAATTAATTAGATTAATTTTAGGTTGAATTGGATTAATTAAAAGTATAAGGACCTAAGCTGTAATTGTTCAATAATTGAAAAAAAGGATTCCAGAACCTTCTCTATGAGAGGTGGATGGTTTTCGAGTGATTCTTAGGTTTCTAGCTTATCCCTTAGAGATAATTAGGAAACTAGATAATTAATTGATTTAAGATATTATTATTTTAATCAAGTAAAGGTCATCTAAGGTTTATTGGTCAACGATAAATAGCGTCTCATAGCCTCTAAATTTCGACTACTTGACTCCTTAAGAATATTGCTGGAATTTTGTCTCTTTAATTCTCTCTCTTCAAGTTTCATTGGTTGGTAGGGTTTGGGTGTGAACCATTAGAGACATGACACTTATGGTGCTAGCTTCCAAATCAAGGAAGAAAATACTTTTTTGATTTTTTACTACACCAATAAAAAAGGTATGTAATTTCTATTTTATTTGTAAATTTCAAAAAATACCCCAGGTTTAGAGGGTTCTTGTTGTTCAATAGAATGTTACTTCAATATTGTTATGACATCGATCCAATAGGTTGCATGTACTCTTAAGTGTTAAAGATTTATTTGTGTTATTGCATGTTAAACCCATCAGTGGTATTAGGCCGTATGGTTGCTTAACAATTGAATGTACATTCCTTGAACTTGAACAATTTTTTTTTCTATCAGACTTATCTTCCGACATGAGAATTTCATGCTCACGACATGAGCACAATAAAAATCAAAATTTTCTTTTATGTCAGACTGATCTCACGACATGAGACTTAATGCTCATGATGTGAGCACAATATTTCTAGAATATTGGATTTTTGTACCTAATTTGATTTATATGGTTATTATTTGGTAATTATCTCTTATAAAATCGGCGAAATCCTTATTTTTCTTATATTAGATAATTAAATAAAACCTTAAATGTTAGAAGATAATCTTCTATAAGATATTGATTAATCATAAGATTAATTAATATTATCCTTATAAATCTTATTATTAATTTATTTAAATGATTAATTAAAAGATATTTAGTAAATCCTTAAACTAGATTAAATTTGATTAAATAAAAAGGTTAATTTGTTAAAATATTAAACATTGTATTTTTTGAATTGTTTTAAATACACCTTATACTATGTATAAAATTATTAGTTTATATATATATATATATATATATATATATATATATATATATATATATATATATTATGTATAAGGAAGCGGCCTACAAAATGGTTGTTGAATGGGTGTCTACTCTCACCTACCACTCTCATGTGTAGTGGAGGGTCAGTAGGCAAACGGATTTCATATGACATAATTTCATTAGAAAGTATAATGATATAAAGTAACTAAACTAATTTTAAAACCTTACTCTTAGTTACTTTAGGAAAAATGTGGATAGTGTGCTAATTTATGAAAATTTACATTATGCTTTACATGTTGTTAGTGAAGTGTGTATGGTTAACTGGCATAATAATAGGGACTATAAAGAGATATGATGTGCATCTTGAAAATTATCATTGTTGATGGAGCATGTGTAGTGAACTGTAACATCAATGTGAGATGATAGATGACATCGAGGTTGTCAAGCGGGTTTGCATGGTTATTCACATCTTATTTGTAGCATGCTATAATTCGAAATTAAACACGTTATTCATAAGATTCAATGAATCTCATAAGATCTAGGTGTTTCATCAGATTGAAGTTGGTAAAAGCCTTACCTACCTTAAATAGATTCAAATTTGATTATGACATCCCTCTTCAAAGTTCGAATCAATAATATCGATCCTAGCCTTAAAATTAGCTAACTTGAATTCTCTTTCTCCCATTATAGATGTCAAGTATAGAGAATAATAGTCTTTCTCATTCTTTTGGAAATGGTGTTCCGCTATCATCTGAAGATGATCTTCCACTCTCTAATCAAGGTGAATATGTTTTCTCTTCTTCGAGAAATGTTGGAACTAGACATCATGCTTCTTCATCTCTTCCACCTCTTCCTCCAGTGACTCTGCCAACGTCACGTTTTCCTCGATGAAAGATATGAAACTACTCAAACCCTATTAGCATGTATATATCAAGATGGAAATTATGTGTGTGCATGTTCTATAAATGAAATCGAGCATGGACATGTCGGATAGAATGGGTATCATTTTTCCAAGGGAGAAAGCCATTGATTTCGTTCTTCTTTTTCTTCCAAAGTCATACGAACAGTTCATTGAGAACTTTCATATGATGAACATAGATATGCCCCTAATTGATTTGACCCAAATGTTGATTATTGCTAAAGCAAAAATACTGAAGAGCACATCTGAAGCATAAATGCTTAAAGGGTCTGATCCCAAAGTTTCCATGGACTTCGAAAATGGTGGTCAAGAAAAGATTTATCATACAAATGGAAAGGGATTGGCCAAGGGCAAACAATTTATTGTATGGTAAAGAGAAAGGATAGTTTTGAGATAGTTCCATGTGTTAACCCCAAAGAGTCCATATATTTCTATTGCCAATTGAAGGGACATTGGTTGTGAAACTGGCCAAAGTAGCTAAAATATCTCAGAAATAGTGAAGTCAAATTTTGTGACTCTACTTTAGGCACATCAATTATCTTAACAAGTTCATATTCATAGATTCTTAATACATGATGTGATGATCACATTGCGATGTTATTGTAGGATCTAAGAGAAAGAAGGAAGCTTAAGTAGAGTGTGCTAAATATGATCAAGGAAATGGACTTCAGTCACATGGTTTGATAATTAGAATTTGGAGCTGCTAATAAGGATTGAGGATAATTTATGTAACATCCCAAAAATATAGTCCAAAATTTTGTTTTAAATTATTTAAGTAAAACCCATAATTCGTCAAACTACATAATAAAATTACAAGTCATGTATCTCAAACATCATATCAAAATACTGTATCAAAACCATGTGTCAAAATATCAGAGTCTAAAACATCCCAGGCCAAAAATTGTGGTGTGTGCCATGTAGTTATCCTGAGCTCTTCCTTTTGCTACCGGAACTACCTGAAACCTAAACTGAAAACTGTAAGCACGAAGCTTAGTGAGTCTCCCCAAACTACCACATACCATACACATAATAACTTACACTGGGCGTTGCCCACTACATCGGGCGCCGTCCGACATCGGACCGAAGTCCGTTATACATATAATATATCAACACACATGTAATATAACACATAACATAAAAATATATACTAAACTTTCCTCAGGCTTGTCGCGTGTCACACCCCCGTACCAGGATGGCAGAAACGTCCGGGGGTGGATGACGTCATTGTGTAGTATCATAACATTTGAATATGAATGAAACATAGCAACCAAGCATCATAGAATAAAAGATACAAACATACATTGCTTATAAGTCATATTAGTTCATGAAATTACACAAAACTAACATAGTGTATGATATTTCAAAAATACAGCAAATATCCAAGATCCATAGCCCAAATACCTACTTAGTAAGTCCCTGAGAATACAAGTCATTTTGAAAAGCGTCAACATAGAATGTAGGTGAGTTCATAAGCATATTTGTATGAAAAACTTTATAAGTTCTTTGTTTGTAATAATTTGTAAAACTCCAGAAAAGCCGATCACTACTAGAAACCAGGCTATTAATGACACACAATTTATGAAACGCACAGATATATGATACGCAAAAGTGTGTGATGTAAAAACAATGTCATCTCTCCTAAAATTTAAAGGATTTAGGATGCGCATTTGTGCGTGCCCTAAAATTAGTGTCACAAAATAAAAATAAAAATACGGAGGGCGCCTAGCATAAAATGTGTGTCATGTGAGTGCGTCGCTTTATAATTTTTTTTTTAGTGAAACATGCGTTTTAAGCGGGAAAATGAAATCACCAAAAATTAACCCCCCACCTATTCTATCCCAAAAATTAAAACCCCGCCTCTTCTAATTAGCAAGAAAAATCCGTAGGGACTTTGTCTTATCCGCAGCTTCCTCAATTCCTCGATCCATCACCTCCATTAAAAACCTAATCCTCAGTTCCAAAAACTTCTTACACTCTTAATCGAAATCAGTATAGATTGCCCCACTTCACCTCCCCTCTACCCTAATCCATTTAGAGTCATCGACTCCTCGTTTTTCTTTCATATTTGAAACTCCTCATTCATCAGAAATAGGAGGTAGCAAGGTCAATATTCTGAGATTCGAAATTATATGACTCAAATTAGAGGTTGAAGATCAGAAATCGAAGTTTGCAAGTCAGAATCAGGATTGAAAGTCAGCGGTTCAAGGTACGATCGAAAGCATTAGAATGTGGAAAACAAAAACGGAGGAGGCATCAGGTTCGAAGGTTGTCCTCTTCTTCTTATTCACATATGTGCCCTATATTTCTTTCTCTTACATTCAGTTTTTAAAGATTCTTTTATTCCCTAAATCAGGTACAGAGATTGTTCTCTTATTCTCCATCTATTTTTGGAATGACGACCTCTCTTGTTAATCTAAAGGGTATTTTCAAATTGTTTGTTTTTGTTTTTGCTAATTCATATTTGCTGTTGATTTGTATATTTCTTTATAAATGTTATATGATGGTTATCTGGTTAAAATCATATTAGCATACTTTGAATCATCTATCTCAAGAAAAAAATCTAACTGTTCCCCTTTCATTAGGTGGAAAACTTTATCCAGTATCTCTCGGCATTTTTGGATGGATTGGTGGTTGGTTTCGTTTCTGCATGGAAGCTAGCTCTTTTAAGTGTCGCAATCATTCCCGGAATCACATTTGCAGGTAGATTATATCCTTATACTCTTACAAGTCTCACTTCCAAAAGTCTTGAATCCTATGCCAATGCTGGCATCATCGTTGAACATGTAATCTGCTAATCTTAAATTGGGATACAAAGTACTCGATTCATAAGAACAGTGTATTCATATGTGGGAGAAACCAAAGCACTCGATTCATATTCATATGCAATACAACATACTCTCAAATTGGGATACAAAGAAGGAATGGAAAAAGGATTGGGATTGGGATGCACATATGGATTCACATGCATGTCATGGGCGCTTGTGTTTTGGTATGCAGGTGTATTTATTAGGAATGGGCAGACAGATGGTGGAAAAGCATTTACAACAATCTTCTCTGCCATTGTTGGAGGCATGTAAGGTTTTTCTTTTTTTAATAATAATAATAGTAATTCTGTTTCTTCATAAATTTAATTAAAATAATCATAACAAGAGTTTCGGTCAATTGTTTTCGAATCTTGTAGCATTCAGCAAAGGGAAAGCTGTTGGATATAAATTATTGGAAATTTTTAAGCAAAAACCGACTATAGTTCAAGACCCTACAGATGGGAAATGTTTGACCGAGGTCAACGGGAATATCGAATTTAAGGAGTTGTCTTTTAGTTACCCATGAAGACCGGATATTCTTATCTTTAGAGAGTTTTCCATTTTCTTCCCGGCTGGAAAGACAGTTGCGGTGGTTTTATGACCCTAATCAAGGTATATATATATATATATATTATATATATATATATATATATATATATATATATATATATATATATATATATAATCTTACTACCTGTTTCTTATTTCTTTTTCACTTAATAGTTAATAGAGCTCCTCTTAATGGTTAACTATTCAGACGCTCCTTTTTACCTCCCTACCCTTTTACCATCTCTTATTTGGCCTCACTTCTAAATAAAATGGTAAAATGGTCTTTTGGAGTTCAAGGACTTGTTGGAGAAAATAGCATCAGTACTGGATAGTGAGGCAGAAAAGTCTTTTATGCATAGGTTTATGCTTCTAAAGAAAATGGTCTTTTGGACTATTTACTTCAAGGACTTGTAAGAGAAAATAGCATCACTTCTAAAGAAAATGGTAAAATGGTATTTTGGACTATTTACTTCAAGGACTTGTTGGAGAAAATGGCATTAATACTAGAAAGTGAGGCAGAAAAGTCTTTTATGCATAGGTTTACACTTGAAATATCTCATATTTACTTACATGTACATGAGGAAATTTAACTAACAATCATCATGTAGCTATCATATGTCTGCAGTCACTAATATCCACACAATCACGTCTAGTAATCTCTCCTTCTGAAACTGATGCATCTACTGATAGCATCTTGACTTCTGATTCAATCTGTATTAAAGTCCCTACCGATGATATTCGAGTTGGAGATTTTGTATTGGTTTTGCCTGGAGATACTATTCCTATATATGTAAGTCTTGTTAATTTTCAATTGGAACATCATAATTCACATTACAATTTTAATAAAATAGTTTATGGATTAGGGCTTTTGATATGATGAATTAAATCTTGTGTTCAGGGGAAAGTATTTGTATGAAGAAGTGTTGCGGATGAGTCTATGCTTACAGGAGAGTCTATTCCTATTTTAAGGAAGAAGGGCTTTTTGTCTCTGCTGGAACAATAAATTGGGAATTATAAAATTTGAGCATTTGGAGAAAAATTTAATCTTTGAGCATTTTATATAAAAAAAGTTATGGAATTATAAAATTTGAGCATTTGGAGAAAAAATTATTCTTTGAGCAATTTATATAAAAAAAGTTATCGAATTATGAAATTTGAGGTAATATTCTGTTTCATGATTGTCTTTTAGGATGACCCACTGAAAATTGAAGCTTCTTCCACCGGCTCCAACTCAACAATAACAAAGATTGTCAAAATGGTATTAAAGTAAAAATTAAATGCAAGAAATAGCAATTTTACTTTCATTTCTTTGTTTATTATATCTTTAAAGCACCAATTTTGTACATTGTTTTAGGTAGAGGATGCAAAGGGGCGTGAAGCACCTATACAGAGGCTTGCATATTCAATTGTTGGGACATATGTATACACTGTTATGACATTATCAACAACAACATTTTCCTTCTAGTATATAACTATTTTCCATTTTGCCCTTGTCATTGACAAGTTTAAACTAGTAATTGCTTTGTGTTTTTATTTAATTGTTAACTATGAAGGTACTATGTTTGGGTACATGTTTTTTCAGATGTGCTGCTAAATGACATTTCTGGCCCTATGGAAAATCCTCTGCTTTTGAGCTTAAAACTTTCCATAGATGTCTTGGTGAGTCATAGTTTAAACTTTTATCTTTTTACACCTTTTAAAAAATAGAAAAATAAAACGTAGTTTCACCATTTTATTAAAATAGTAAAACAAGTAGCATTTATAAGAAGATGTTCCTGATGAATTTGCATCACTCACAGTTAAAACTTTTATTTACTACACCTTTTAAAAAATAGAAAAATAAAACGTAGTTTCACCATTTTATTAAAATAGCAAAATAACTAGCATTAATAAGATGTTCCTGATGAATTTGCGTCACACATACTTAAAAATAAAATCCACCATTTTTGCTTGTGATTTACTACATATCAGCAGTAAATGTATGTACTAAGTATAGTTATTCTCATTTTTACATATTGGGATTTGTTGGTTTACGTGAATCTAATGGTTGCATTATTCAAATTTGTAGGTCTTGTTGATG